ATTAGCCGTTTTCAGATATTCTGTTCTTCACTGCCTGGACCTCCCCACCTGTGGATGTTTGGCTGGTGAATTCTGGGAGTTGAAGTCCGGACATCTTCAAGTTGCCAAGGTTGAGAAACACTGTTCTAGAGACAAATGCAATTGTCTATCAATGGGCCATTATGTCAACAGAACCCCACTTAAGAAGCTGTTGGCCTCCGTATTCCGTATATATTCCATATATTGATTAGGAAATCCCCTCTCCCCATTTATATCCGGGCTATTTTATATCAAGACTAACTGCATTCACATCTCAGTGGAGGCCAGTCTGTTTAGAAACAGTTGGGGCAAAACATTCCAAATTAAGAAGAAATTGGAGCTAGCATTCTGAACTAAATGCATGATTTAAAAAAATAAATAAATGTATTTCGTGTCTTTTTTAAGAAGTCATTTCCAGAATTTGGGTACCACCTGGGTGTGTGTGTGTGTGTTATCTAGAGAGGATAAAAAAAAGTGAAGATGCTCTCCAGCCAACAAAGGGGGCAGGCCTGCAGTGGCATGGTTTGTGGCTGCCATCTTGACTTTTTTGACCTCAACATCCCTGGATTCAAAGTAATGCTTGGTTAATAGTGGGCCTAATTTTCTCCATATCTGGGCTCACTCTGTCCCAGTTCAGATCTCTAAGGATTTTGCTAAGTTTGGAGTGTAGGATAATAACAATAATAATAATTTATTTGTCAGTGCACAACATATGTACAATGAGATTGGTTGAGCTCCCTCAGTGCATTCTCCCGACACAATACAACAAACTCCCCCTGAAAATGATGCACGCCAAATCAGAACCACAAAAAGTTACACATTGAAAATTCTGGATGTGCACCACAAAACAATTCAGGTTCAAAACCTCACCCATATCTGTCACAATAACATTCTTGTTCTGGCTAAAATCATCCCATAAGATAATTCTAACACAGTTGCTTTCCCAAATCTTTGGTAAATTACTCCAAATTGGGTACAGGTAGTCCTTGACTTACAACCATTCATTGAGTGACGGTTGCAAGTTATCGCAGCACTGAAAAAAAAACGATTTATGACCATTTTTCACGCTTACAACTGTGGGTCATATAATTAAAATTTAGATGCTTGGCAACTGGCATGTACTTGTGACTGTTCCTGAATCACATGATGACCATCTGTGACCTTTCCCAGCCAGTTTCCAATAAGGTGGCACAGTGGTTAGAGTGCAGTACTGCAGGCCACTTCAGCTGACTGCTAGCTGCAGTTCGGCGGTTCAAATCTCACCGGCTCAAGGTTGANGTGTGTGTGTGTGTGTGTGTGTGTGTGTGAAGATAAAAGTGGGAACTCTATTTCATCCCTAAATGGTTTGAGACAGGATTAGAACCCCTGACCACTGCCCCCATTCCGACATTTACAGGCAGTCCTCGACTTACGACCACAATGGAGCCCAACATTTCTGTTGGTAAGTAAAACATTTGTTAATTGAATTTGCCTCATTTTACCACCTTTCTTGCCACGGTTGTTAAGTGAATCACCGCAGCTGTTGTTAACGTGGTTCTTAAGTGAATCAGCCTTCCCCACTGACTTTATTTGTCAGAAGGTCACAAAACGGGACCATATGACCCCCGGGGACACTGCGACTGTCATAAATAGGAACCGGTTTCCAAACACCCGAATTTTGATCACGTCACCAAGGGTCGTAAGTGTGAAAAATGGTCATAAGTCAGTTGTTTTAATGCTGTTGTGATTTTGAATGATCGCTAATCAAGGACTCCCTGTGTTCTACACGGTTAGGGTTAGGGTTAATGTTTGCCGCTTGTTAGGGACCAAACCACCAATTCAACAGCATCAGATCATCATCTCTGCCCAGCTTAACTAAGACCCCTGCCATGCCCAGTAGCATCTCTGCAGGGATGGTAAACAAAGATGGCGGCTTCAACCGCATAATCCCAGGCTCGCGGCTTTGCATAAGCACATATAAAGGCAATTGGGCTTCTGTCACATAGAGGCCACTGACATTCTGCCTTTTTTGAGGCCCCCGAGGATAACGTTGGGGGTCCTCAGACAATTCCAGCAAATATAGATGACATTACTAATGTCTTTCTCCCTCAGCAACTTTAAGATGTGTGGACTTCAACTCCCAGAATTCACCAGCCAATTCCTTCTTCCCTTTCTCCCTCCATCCCTCTTTTCCTCCGTCCCTCTTTTCTTTCCTTCCTCCCCTCCCTCTTTTCTTCTTCCCTCCCTCTCCCTCTCTTTCCCTTCCTTCCTCCTCCTTTCTTCCCTCCCTTTCCACCTTTTCCTTCCTTCCTTCTATTCCTTCCTCCCTCCCCCTGCCTTTTCCTTCTTCCCTCTTTTCTTTCCTTCCTCCCCTCCCTCTCTTTTCTTCTTCCCTCCCTCTCCCTCTCTTTCCCTTCCTCCCTCCTCCTTTCTTCCCTCTCTCTCCCATCTTTTCCTTCCTTCCTTCTCTTCTTTCCACCCTCCATCTGCCTTTTCCTTCTTCCCTCTTTTCTTTCCTTCCTCCCCTCCCCCTCTTTCCTTCTTCCCTCCCTCCCTCTCCCTCCCTTTCCTCCCTTTTCCCCTCTGTCCCTCCTCCCTCTATCCCTCTCCTTTTCCTTTCTTCCTTCCTCCTTCCCTCCCTCTCACCTTTTCCTTCTCTTCCTTTTTCCTTCTCTCCTTCCTCCCCCTCCTCTTTTCCTTCCTCTCCCCCTCCTCTCCCACCCTCCCTCCCTATCTATTAGTTTTCAATCTTCATTCAGGAAAAATGTAAAATCCTATCTTAGCACACAGGATGTGCCTGTCTCATTCTATCAGATCATCACCTTCCAAATGAAGAATAACAGAGTTGGAAGGGACCTTGGAGGTCTTCTAGTCCAACCCCCTGCTTAGGCAGGAAACCCTACACCACTTCAGACAAATGGTTGTCCAACATCTTCTTTAAAACTTCCAGTGTTCTTCCATATGTATTTGTCTG